CATTTGTCACTTGACTTCCCAGTTCACATTTCCTGAGTGGTGTGGAGTCTGAGAGCCACAGAGAACACTGTCCCCCAGTCAGTCCCCAGCTCAGCTGCCAACCAGTTGTATGACCCAGGCCAAATCATCTGACCTCTGGGAAGCCAGCCAGTGAGCCCTGCCCTGCCTTCCCCCAGAGGGTTGTAGGGAGTAAATGAAGTCATGAATGGAAGTCTCTTTGCGAACTCTTAATACAAACATAAGAGGTCATGTTAAAAGTGACAAGTCTCCTATTGATTAGAGCAGTTCTTTAGGGGAAAAGTATACAGCTCTTGGGAGTGGGGCACTTCTGTGTGGAGGGGTTAAGTCTTCTCGAATGCCATTAGTGTCTTTAGTTAATGATGATAAATTGCCCGAGTTGTTGCCGTGATGGTTTTTCCCTCTATAATTGCACTCACCTCAAAAACCACAAGTAGCAGTGGGTCCCACTGACCATTACGACATTTGAAAAACTAATTGGAAGTTGAAAGAGCCCTGCACCTTTGCTTTTGTCTGGACCAGCCGAGGAAAGAGATGAGCAGGTGGGTCCAACAGGCAGGAGGGGCTCTCTGGGTCTTCCATTCAGCTCCTCTTCTTCGTTCTGCCTTGGCTCTCCTCGCCACATTTGTTTTTTTTTTTTTTTTTTTTTTTTTTTTTTTTTTTTTTGGTTTTTCTCCGGTACCGGGAACCGAACTCAGGACCTTGCGCTTGCCAGGCAGGCGCTTTGCCGCTGAGCTAAATCCCCAGCCCTGCCACATTTGTTTGAAGTGGATGCCCACCCTCAATGGCCAGCCTTCCGCTCTGGAGGGGGCTTTTGTTCCCCATTGTGCTCATTGTCCCCTCAGCCAGAGTGTCCCTGCAAAGTGTTTCCCACGCTTTACATTCTTTCCCGGGTTCCCTCTTGAGAGCAGGTGGTCAGAACCCTCTGAAGAGCCCAGTTGGTTTTACAGGTCTGGTGCTTTGAGACCAGAGCCTGGCCGGCAGCCCTTCAGGACGTGGGGCAAGCACTCTCCTGGTGACAGTGACCTGGGCTGGAAAGGAGAGAGGGTGGGTTGCTCATCATTGAGTTGCCAGCAGCTTTTAGATGCTTCAGTTCTCTTCGCAGTTTTAATCAAAACAAGACATCCCATCATCCAGGCTTTAGAGTGGTTATTTTTTTTAAGGTTTAATGCATAAATCTTGTGTACAGCTCAGTGAATTTTTGTATACAACTACACTGATATAACCGCTACCCAAGTCAAACTACAGAACGTTTCCATCACACCAGAAGCTCACAGATTCTGCTAAAAAGCCTGTGGGGCACGGTAGCGCACAGCTGTGAGCCTGGCACGTGGGAAGCTAATGTAGAAGCATCTCATGTTTGAGGCCTGCACGCGCTGTATAGTGAGACCCTAAAAAACATGCAGAAGGTGGATGATGTCTGAGGATGTTGGTCCAGATAAAATGGTTCATGAATAGAAAAAATTGGGTAATCATTGACCTAGGGGCCAGTGGTTAATGGTTCCAGTTTGGTGTGTCCCTTTATGGCAGAAAGCCTCTTTAAGAAATTATGTCTGCCAGTGCTGCGTACTGGCAATATAATGCAAGCATATGGGTGACAGCACATTTTTGATGACTAATATTTTGTAAAAAGGGTGTTGCTCAGTGGTAGAACACATGTATAAGGTGCTGGGTCCAATTCCAGTACAGGGCTAGAGGGAAGTGAAACTAATTTTAATATATTTAATTATGGTAATGTGGTCAATAGAGGGAAATTTATTTTGTATTCCCAGGTTTGAATTAAAGCACATCTCAGTGTAGTAGCCACATTTCAAGGGTTCAACAGCCACTTGTGTCTTGTGACCGTCATATTGGACACTCTCCAGTTCTCTTCCCGCATCTCCTGAACCCAACTGAATCAGACTTGGGGCTCCACCACTCTATCCAGTTTGTTTTTACCAGGGTTACCATAGGTTGCTGGTCTCACACCTGTGGTCTCAACTGACCTGACCCCGCAGCAACATTGGGCAGCACAGATAACTCTTCTGTTTCTTCTCTAGCTCAGGGACTTGCACGGGCTAAGCAGCCACTCTACCACTGAGCGACATCCCACCCCTCTCCCTTCTTGGACCTCTTTCTTAGGTTGTGTTTTGGGATTTCTCCCTCGGTAGTTTCCCTGCTACTTCACCACCTGCTCCTTCTGTCTCCACTACTTCCTGCCTTTCCTCCGAACTTCAAGTGGAGCAGTAGAGGGGTCAGTTCTTGGACTTCTCTACTCTTTTCTGTACTTCTTTACTGACCTAATAGTCCTTCAACTTTAAAGACCATCTACATCACGACACCCCAAACCAGACCTCTGAACCCCAGGTTTGTTCACCTGCTGCCTACTCGCTACCCTCACTTGGACGTGGAACAAGCACGTCACACTTGGCATATCCAGGCCCAGACTCCTAGTTCCGCCCCCATTCCGAGGGCTGCTAAAGGGCAACTCTGTCCTCCCAGTTCTTCAGCCAAACACTGGTGTCATTCTTCATTCCTTGCACGTTCCTATGCCCTATGAGCAAGTAGCTTCCACCTAAGAATACATCCAAATTTGAGCCCTTCTCAGAGTGATTTTAAACACAGCAAGGATCATGTGCCTCTACATAAGCCACTATGGCTTCCATTTCACCCAGGGTGAGATCAAGTCCTCACAATGACCCTGTTAAACAAAATGCATGGGAGGCTGTTATTTTAGACTGAGCTCCTGCACTGGGCCTCAATAAGCCAGACCAAACCAGAATGGATTCACTCATGCCAGGTACCACATAATCAAACTGAACCTTTTATTCTCAGCTATGGAGATAGCTCAGTGGCACAGCGCCTGCCTGGCAAGCACAAAGTCCTGAGTTCGATTCCCGGTACCAAAAAAAAATTTTTTTTTCTTTTTCCAAAAAATGAGAGATTGACAGCAACTAACATAAGGTACCCAGTCTACCTCAGCCTGACTGATAAGGTGAATCCTCATTTTTAGTCTTATATATAACTGAGTTGGACGTGGTGGTGCATGGCTATAATCACAGCACCCTGGGATGCTGGGGCAAGAGGGTCACAAGTCTGAACGAGGGATATAGCTCATTGCAAAGGCCTGGGTTCAATCCCTAATTGGGGTGGGCAGATAGATAAAGTAACTGGCCAGGTGTAATGGCACACACTTACAATTCCAGCTACTTGGGAGGCTGATGCAGGCAGATCACAAATTTGAGGCTAGCCTTAGCAACTTAATAAATCATGTCTCAAAAAAAAAAAAAAAAAAAAAAAAGCTAGAGATGTAGCTCATTCCTCGGGGGGTTCAATCCCCAGTACTGAGAAAAGAAATTAAGTCAGAAACAACCAGTCTGCTTTCTGTTCCTTCAGCTTTTTTTTTTTTTGAGACAGGGTCCCAGTATGCAGTTCAGGCTGGCCTCAAACACGCAGTGATCCTCCTGCCTCATCCGCTCACGTGCTGGGATTACAGGCGTGCCCCATCACGCCAGGCTGGCAGATGTTTAAAGCTCAATTTTAGCTCCTGTGGGAGTCCCCAGGAGCTGGCTCCTGCTCCTTCTGGGTCTCACATCATTTCCCACTTCTGCCTTCTCTCTGCTCTAGCTGGCCAAGCTGACCTTGATATTCTTCCTGCCGCTCTTACCTCAGGGCCTTTGCATTGGGTCTGTCTGGAAAGTTCTTCGTCCAGATGTTCCCAAAGCCAAACTCCCTGTCTTCCTTTAGGTCTACTCAGGTGTTGCATTGTTACTGAGGCCTACACATGTATAGACTGGAGATGCAGTAACACCCTTCTAGTGCCCACACCACATCCAAGTCTCCTTTGTGCCTGACAGACCTTTGACATAGTCTGTACTTGTTTTTATCATCACCCCCCCGCTTAGAATATAAGGGGGGAGATATCTATCTATCTATCTATCTATCTATCTATCTATCTATCTATCTATCTATATCTATATAAAATCTCTGTAAATTCAGAGATTTTGCTCACAACTGTCTTCCCAGTGCCTAGAACAGTGCTATGGTGGGTGCTGCATACATGTTTATTGAATGAACGAATGATGTTACTTGTAAATGAGCAAGTGATGAGCGGATGAAGGATGGTTTGGCCCAGGTAAATGCTAAGAGCATTGGCTAGGAGCCCAGTTCTGGGCTGGAGTGCCCAGGTTTCCATTTGCGCTCTCTCACCAGCTGTGACTGGGCAGTTTCTATCCTCCCTTCCTGGTTTGTAACTATGTAAAACACATAAACAGTTAGGCTAATGATAAAAGAAAATTGAAATGCAGACCAGTATGGGGGAATTTTATTGTATATACAAAGGGGAAAGTAGGTCAGAACTGAAATAGGGTTAACTGGATCCAGTTGTGTTTTGGGAACCAGTGGCCCAACCTTAGGCTGAAATCTTCATCCTTGGGAATTCCGCCTGCAGAGAGAAAGAGAAAGCTCAGAGACTGCATGGAGGGTAGGTTAGGGCGGGACCCCTTGAACTAGGGTGGTAAGCGCTCTGGGGCAGGAGCTGGCTGTCAGATGCCCAAGCCCGCCAGCAAAGTGGAGCCATGTCTTAGCCCCTCCTCTGCCAGTTGGCTGCTACTGACTCAGACCCTGTGCCGGTCACTTCCCAGACAGGATAGGCCTTCTCCCAGCCAGACATTCACCACACCCTTGCGTCTCTTTCTGTTGATCACAAATTGAAGAATTGACTGTACTAGAACTTGGTAAGTCCTGCTTGCCTCACTACATTATCAATTCTGTGATAGCAGATGCCACCGTCATCCCGTCCACTGCTGATTCCCAACCCAGAGCCTGGCACATTGTAGTCACTGGAAGGCTCTTACAGGGTGGAAGGATGGCTGAACACGAATCTCAGCTTCTTTCTGGGACTGTGAGGAGGATATAACGTGTGGCGGGTACAAAATGTGTCTGTTGCTCTGCTCCACTCTGCACTATAAAGGTCTAAGCACTCATTTCACGTTCTCAGCCCACTAGTGATACCCTGAACTTCCAGTACTTGAGCTGGAGGGGACCACGGCTGGAGCAGCCTCCAGGGCCCTTCCAGTGAGCTGTGTGAAGTCTCTGGCTTTGAACCTGCAGAACAAAACCACCTTCTTAGGGTTGGCTTCCTTGGGCTGCCCAGTGGGAGCCATAGCAGGTGAGTGAGTGTCTAATCTCAGCCTGAGAGGTACAGCTGGACATCCTGCTCAGAGGCAATATAATATTTTTACAATTCTAGCCTTTGGGACCTTAAAGGTGATCAGAGCTAACCTGCTTCTGTTCCTCTTGTAGAGGAGGATACGAGGTAGCTGCCTATAGCTGCAGGTGGAGTCGGTGACAGAACCGGGCCCAGGCCTGCGTGCTGCTTCCACCTGGCTCTCACCCCTCTGTGGTTGCCTGCCTGTGGCTTCCTGCTGCTTGGACCGCCATAGGCTGTTGCTGCGGAGATCTCTGGGCTCTCAGTGTTTGATTATATTTGGAAGAAGGTGAGAGAGGACACAGAGAGCTCTGTTGGGATCCAGGTTTGCTTAGTATGTTGGTGCAGAAGTGCCCGGCACAGCCATGCTGGGACATGCTTGTGCGCACAGGAAAATCAGGCTCCAGGACTGGGGACACAGATCAGAGACAGAGTGCTTAGGCCTCCCCTGTGCTAGGCCCTGGGTTTGACCCACGGCACCACACACACAAAAAACTATAGCAGTTTTTCTCCAATTACCATAACACTGCCATCCTTGGGAAACTTTGGCTAAGCAGTGGAATGTCACATGAAGATGCGCCAAGGAATCAGCGCAGGTCTTGGGCCTGCCAGTCCCTTACTTGGGCCCAACTGCAGTCCCTTCTTTACCCTTCCATAAAGGGGGAAGCATTCCTAATCTTCCCTGACTCCCAGTGGAAATGTGAGGGCCATGGAGGTGGGACAGAACTGTCACAACCGTCTCTCCCACTGGAGACAGTGTGCCTGCGCTTACGGTTTGTCACAGGGGGTAGGAAGCCCGGCTTGCCTTTGGCTTTATTGTTTTGTGAAGTTGGTGGACGATCCAGGGCGTACTTCTCAGGTCATACACATCAGAATCCCTTGAGACACACTGAAATTCAGGTTTCTAGGATCTATCCCAGAACCACTCAGTGAGTAGCATTTCCAGGCCCAGACGTCTGACTGCACACTGTACATGCAGCAGAGGGTACCATGCAGTCTCAGCACGCATTCTCTCCCCTTCCCCTAGCTCTTGTGTGGAACAAGGCACCTTGTTCTCCTTTCATGGGTAGAGCCACCCCACATCTTTGGAGCAGAGGGGATTCTTTCCTTTACCAGGCAACTCATGAAAAGGGAAGTCTCTGGGGTTCCTAGATGCGCGCGCGTGCACACACACACACACACACACACACACACACACACACACACACTCACACACTCATATCCCCACCTGTGCTTCTGCAGCAGGGCCACCAGCATGCTCTCCAGTGCCACCTGCTTTTGGTCTGTCCACACGCTGTCCACCTGACGGCTAAGCCGTATCCTTGCTCCTTGCTCCTGGTTTCTCGCTCTATATGGTCAGAAAAAGAGAAACAGTTTACGTTTCTACTGGGTAGGCTGTGGATGGGCCGGGGTACATCTCTATGCCTATTCTGGTACCTGATAGTCTTCCACACAACTGAATTAGATTCAGCAACATGTAGAGGTGCAGTACATATAGTAGTGAAGTGGACAGAACACAAGCGTACACAGTTACAAAACTCATCACTGATTATTAACTAATGTGGCAGACACCAAGTTAATCAAGCAGTCAAATCCACCAAAAATGGGACCAATTGCACTGAGAAGGACACATCACTACGACTGTGAGTGCATAACCTGGGCCTGAGGATGCCTCCAGCAGCTTCTCTGTGAGAGACAGTCTAGAAGACATTGGTCTTTAATTTTTTTTTTGAAGTTATGCAATTTAATTTATTTAATATCATTAAGACATTGGTCTTTAATAGTCAGAAAATTCAATCCCATGGAAGACTGATGAAGTATTCCAGATGAAAAAAACTAAAAAGATACAACTAAATGGAAACCATGATCCTGGGTTGGAGTCTGGATTAGAAAAAGAAACCATTGTCATTTCAGATTTTGGGACAACTGATGGAATCTGAATATGGATTATAAGGCCGTTATACTGTGACTGTGTCAGGATGCCCTTCGTTAGGTGCTAGGAGGTACACGCGGATGTACCTAAGGGGAAGGGTCGTAGTGACTGCCATTTGTATTCAAGTGTTTCCCAAATTATCAACAAGGAGCGAAGTAAAAGAGATAATAGGAAGTAAGGAGATAGCTCTCCTCAAATGGGAAGGGAATCGAGAGATGGAGAGAGGGGAGAGGGAGTGGGGGAAAAGGGGGTGGAAAATGGCATTCAGAAACGTCCTGTACATGGACCAACTCCACACAGGGAATGTGAACATTATGCACTGAAAACATGTACGAATAAAAACAGTAACAATAAACAGAGCGCGGTGCTGCATGCTTGTAATTCTTGCAGCACTCTGGGAAGATCACAAATTTGAGCCTAGCCTGGGCAGCTTAGTGAGATCCTAACCCACAACAAATTTAAAAAGGACCAGGACTGTAGTCCAATGTGAAGACCCTGGGTTTACAACATGCCCAGCACCTTGAATTTTTTTCTAAATGGAAACTAAAACATGTATGAGCTATGGAATCGGGCCGTTTGTATCCTAGCTCTGCTACTCTTAGAATTAGCGAATCTGTATGATGGGGTAGGAGCTCCTACTTTGTCGAGTTGTTACAAAAATCAGAGAAAAAACTAGGAATAATGGCTCACAATACACACAGCTGCCCATGTGCCCAGCATGGTGCTGACTGCGCACACACATCCCCGTGGAGTGTGTGCTTCTGGCAGAGTCTCAGTGACCATCAGCTCTGTTCCTGTCAGAGTTTGGCTGAGGGAGAGGTGCACAGCAGCGTGGAGGGAGGCTGCGGATTGACATCGGCACCCTTCTGCCGTGCAAAGCTCAGAAACGACAGGAGCTGCATGTGGGAAGAGACCGAGCTTGGTCCCTGGCCTCCTGCTTGGCCTCCCAGACTCTGATGCATAGGGATCAGGAAGAAATCCCTGGTGCTTCTGCTCACCCCTGCTGCCAGCTCATGCGGTCGTGGATCAGCTTGCGGGCGGACAGCTGGCCCTGCATCTTCCGGTAGGTGTTGGAGAAGATGGCATCTGCGTACCGCTGCATCCTGCCAAGGAGTTGGGGAGGGCAGGTGAGAGGACAGTGAGGACTGCACTCACCGTCTCCCTGCAAGCTTCCACTGCTGCCCTGTGTCCCATTCACCCCTAGAGAGTCAGAGCTCACTGAACAGCCTCTCTGGAGCTCAGACACTGAGACACTCTTCCTTTCCCCAGAAGAGAAATGGGCATTATCCGAAGAAACAGCAGGGGGCCAGCTGGGGGCTCAATTCTTCGTCTTCCTCCGCACCTCTGCCCTTCCGTCAGGGATGGCTCAGGGGCTGCTTACCTGAGGGGCAGGGACAGGGGCAGCGAGCAGTGGGAGCTGCTGCTGAGGGTGAGGATCACGAAGAAGAGGAATACCCAGAGCGGCATCCTTCACCCCGGGGTGGCACCTGCAGAAGGACAAGAGGGGATGGTTATGCCCGCCATAGCCATGGGGATGCCATTTACCTGCCGGGCTCAGCCCTGGGCTTGGCTCCATGGCAAGCCTTGTTCTTTGTCCTTTGGGAACTGTGGAATAGGAAGAAGAGCTCACACTCTGGAAGTCAGGCAGCCCTATATTCAAGTTTCTACCTCTGCCAGCCACTAGCTCTGACATCTTCATCTGTAAAATGGGCATGATAAGGTGCCCTGGCCACCTCATCAAGTCAAACAGAAAAGCCAATGATAGTAGGGAAACTATCCCTCGATGTACCACAAGAGGTAGAACTCATTCTCAGCTCAGGATGGGGAAGAAAAAAGTACCTTCCCATAGGGCCCCCAAATCACCCCGTGCAGTGTGGCACTGATAGCAGGGAGCAGCATAAAATCTCATGCAATTCCTGGCTCTGCTATCACTAGCTATGTGTCCAGGATGCATGGCTTCCCCTCTCTGGGCTGCAGTTTCCCCCACCATAAAATGGAGAGGGTAACCATGTCTTGCATCAGGTCCTTGTGAGGATCAAGTGAGTGAGGCACCCTGGTGAGTAGCTTGGCACATAAGGAACTTTCTAGAACCTTTGCTGTGGTCACCTGACAATGACGCTCTTGGAGGATGGGCTCATCCTGTTTTGTTTTGGGTAGATCTGGAGAGAAGGGAGAAAGACTGTAAGTCTTGACCCAGATGTTGGGTTTCACTGAGGAGTTTTAGCCCTGGAAGAGATCAGAGAGCCAGAATCTTCTCATAGATCATGCAATTACTCTTAATTGGGGCCTGTTGAAACCACATTCCGTGGTTAGAGGCAGGAAAGATAGCAGGGGACAGAGCCACCTCAGCTGGGGAGGTGCCACGCTATGAGCCCGGACTAGCCTGGGAAGCTGGCCTGGGAGGGGCAACCGCGTCTTCTGTCTTCTCATCTCCAGGGCACCCTCACTCTCGGCGGGATACCTGCTTCATGGGGATGTAGACCCATCCCAAGGCCCAGCCAGGTCCAGGGAGTGCAGCCCCCCCTCCTTTCCCGTGATCACCTCCCGTGGCTCCATTTCCTTCCCGTCTTGCTGAGCAGTGATCTCTGCAGGGAGCCAGCGTGGGAGGAACCCACGTTGCTTTTCTGGGTTCATTGTCCTCTCAGGACATCGTCCCCTGTCCACAGACTCCGTGGTCTCCAACAACCCAGGGATGCTTTGGGACCCCAGGGAGCACCCACTGGGAGATCTTTGTACCCCCCGAGCTGCCCAGGGGTCAGCGGTCAGCTCCGCCTTGATGTTCACCATCACCTTCAGTTTGCCAGTTCCTGCCGGGTGGAGCATTTGCTGCCATTGAGTGACAAGGAGCTCACTACCTCCAAGCCATTCTGTCTTATTTCTAGGTAGGGATTTTTTTGTTTTGAGTGGTGGGGATTGAACCCAGGGCCGAGGATGTTTTAGGACATTGTGATCTACCCCTGAGCTGCATCCCCAGCCTTCTAGGCTGCTTTTAGGGAATTTTTCCTTGTTGTGTCAAGTGCCCCTTATGCCACAAATATAGTCATGTGCTGAATAACAATGTTTTGGTCAACCACTGGCCACATATACAACAGCGATTCCCTAAGATTATGTGGCCCAGTGACACTGCAGCTATTTTAGTGTGTGATTGCACACACTGTGATGTTTGCACAATGATGAAACGGTCTCAAGATGCTTATCAGAACACACCTCTGAGCGATGCGTGACTGTGTCTGTTAAGCCTCTACTATTCTCCCACCGGCTGGTTCCCTGCCTCGTAGGTGCCTGGAAGGAGGGACCCAGGTGCAAGGGGAGCCACGGGCAGGGGGTGCCGGTCTTCTGACTGGCTCGCTCCCTGCCTTGTAGGTGCCTGGAAGGAGGGCCCCTGGTGCAGGGGGAGCCATGCGGTGGCGAGCGCTGTTGCACACTGGCCCTCAGGCCGGCCACCACTGCTCAACTGAGAACAACCATGACAGAGAGAAACAATGACACAATTGGCCCACCATGCACCGGCTGCAGATGCCCACCCACGGATGTGTGTGAATCATTCAAACATGGAGAAACCCCTGGGAATACATGCCATACAATGGGTCACTCTTGCTCCTGCCATTGAGAACCAGAAAGGTCCAGAGTCAGCGGAGGAGCAGCTGTTGAACAAGGACTCGGAGAACATGAGAATGCAGACTAAGCCCGAGGGGTCAGAGGTCTTGTGGACTGGGGTCATGTGAGCCGCTCTGAAGCTGTAAGCCAGGAGGACCTTGCACAATACATGCAGAGACTCCCTGGAAGCCATTCTTCCCCTGACAGTACAGGCTGTGGTGGAGCTCCGGAGAAGTCTGCAGCAGGATTCCTGCTGCCTGTGCTGACAGCTGGGGAGAGGACACTAACTGGTTGTGGGGTCCCAATGTGATGGGAGGCTGGAGAGAAAATGCTACAAAAAAATGGCTTTGGCCCCAGATGGCTCCCTTGATTTTTGACAACCCTTAGGCTGTAATTACTTGTTAGATCCTTCTTGCGTATCTCTGTCTTCCTGAGAAACCACTTTGAAGACACCAACATGTATTACAGCAGCCATTGATATTTACCTACTAATCTATCCATAACTCTGCAATGTTTGTATTGTTCCTATCCTATTTCCTAAATGAATGCATGTCTATTATTATGTGTTTCCTACAAAAAAAAAAAAAAAAAAGAAAGAAAGAAAAAAAAAGCCTCTACTATTCTGGTAAGGACCGGGGCCAGAGAAAAGAACACTTTACGTTTGTCCAGGGCTGCCTCTTTCACCTCCACATGCTGTGCCATGCAGAGCTTCTGCATCTGCACCCATATTCCACAGTCATACCTTTTAGAGATTTTTTTTGAGGCAGGGTCTCATATGTACTGCAGGCTGGCCTTGAACTCACTATGTAGTTCAGGCTGGCTTCAAACTCATGATGATCCTCCTGCCTCAGCCTCCCGAGTGCTGGGATTACTGGCATGTGCCACCACACCCAGCCTTTAGAGATGTTTCACACCTCACTTTGGCCTTTGCTGCTCAAGCCCAGGATCTGCAGTCCTCTGTCCTCCTCACACCATAGCACACACGCTGCCCCTTCTCCAAAGTGATCCAGGAGGCCTCCCCAGAAGTAGAATTTTCTAAGCGGAGAGGTTTTTTTGACACAAGAAGGGCCTGGTGACAAAAACCTCCTAGAGGCAGCCTGTCTCTCTCTCTCTCTGTCTCTATCTCTGTCTGTCTCTGCCTCTGTCTCTCTGTGTCTGTGTCTGTGTGTCTGTTAGTCTCTCTCTGTACTGGGGACTGAATTATCCCAGGGTCTTTGCTGTGAGCGACATTGCTATACTGCTCCTTTTTCTTGAAACAAAGTCTAGCCCAGGCTGGCCTCTCTTGTGGTGATGCTTCTGCCTCAGCCTCCAAGCGTTGGGATTACAGGTGTGCACCACCATGCCCGGCTCAGCCTGGTTCTCTTGCCTTCTTTGCTGCTCGTCTTTGGAAGACATGGGCTTCTCTAAACCCCGGATCGCCTCACTCTGCTCCAGAAGCCCTTGGCTCTCACCTCCCTAGAGCCCCAGACTGGTCTCCTGCTCAGAGCTCTCCCTTGGCCTCACCTCCTGTCCCTCTCCCAAGGGTGGTATAAGTGATTCCCAGCCCCTGTGCCCTCCTGTCTTGCATAGCACCCTCACCCTCCAAGAGCATGCATTGCCATCCTCACGACGGAGGAAAAAGACAAGAGAGGGCCTTTTCCGTGGTCCTCCGTCAGTTAGCTTCAGAGGGGGCGCTTCAGAACAGGCCCCAGTTCCAGGTCCGCAGACTTCATTCTGCTCCCTGAGGCGGGGCCTTAGCTACAGTACCCCATTCACAGAGCTTGCTATTCATGGGGTGCTTCAGAATTCACCTCCTGCATGTGGGAAAGGGTTCTGCAAAAACAAAAAGCATTTGCTCTTTGTCATGGGGCCCCCAAGGAAGTTAAAAAGGGAACAAACAGGAACACCTGCTTGATCGGCACTTTCCTCTGCACACCTGCTACTTTTGAAGAGTTGAAGATGACCTCACCAGAGGGCAGATCTTGGGAAGTCAAGTCCAAGTCACAGTAAGCACAATAACACTCCCATTTGTTCAAAATGAGGCTGTAGCCACATAGTCTGACCAAGCAAGAGGCACAACATTTGCTGTAAACATGTCCAGACACTGCAGAACCCCTGGTCTATGCAAAGCTGATCCATGGGGTCACCATATTCCACTGCACCAGGGAAAACCAGAAGAATTATCCAGCCTACGGTGAGGTAAGAACAGAGGGTATGTCACCAAGGACAAAAGACTTATCCACAGACACATCCCACAAGACAATCCAAGGAGGTAAAAGTCACTGCATGAAGTCTAACCTAAACCTACCAGCCTCCCTGGCAGCCCCAGGATGACTCAGAGAGCATTCTGCTGTTTGAATTCCGTCATCCAAAGTACCAGCCAGTTTTCTGCATGTCTAATTTTGTGCTCAGATAGATTTGAGGGCTCTGGATTCAGGATAAAGAGGCACTTGCTCCTGTTCAGTTGGCACCTTCTGCCAGCTTTCATGCCATGAATGTCATGAGAATTTTGCAAATACACACCATTAGCTACTGACAAAGGTCAGGTCTCAAGTACCTGAATTAGCAAGGCCACTTTTAAAAACCTTAAAAAGTCTTTTAACTTCCTGAAATATTCTGCTTTGGAATTGAGAACTCCAAAGCACAGGCATTGGGCTTAGGGTATAATCCTTTTAACCAGTAGTGTTCCAAGTCAAAGTAAGTCTTTTTTTGCAATACTAGCGATGGAGCCCAGTGCATTATACATGCTAGGCAAGCGCTGTTCCTCTGAGTTATATCCCCAGCCCCAAATCTAAATGTTTAGTGAAGAAGCACCTTGAGCTGTCTGTCAAAAGGATGACAGCACCTCCTTCCAGAAGGGGTTTGAGTCAGCTTATGGTAAAACAAAAACAAGCACTTCAGGACCATTCAAGCAAGGATGAAGAGACAGGTGTGGAGTAATAGAAGCCTCCGAGCACAAATGATTGTGCCTAAAGCTAGGGTGGCTGCAACTGAGCAAGAAATCAAAATATTATCAATTTCCAGGCAATTAGGTTCAATCAGTTCTGTCTGAGCAGTCCATGAGACGTATCGATTTGCACAGCCACTTGGCTCCCCAATCCATGGCAGAGGAACCACGGTTGATAGGGTCCAGCCAGCTCCTGTCTTGCCCTAGAAGCCTGCCCCACACCCTGGAAAGAGCCCTGAAATCTCCCTCATATCCCACAGACTCCTGCAACATGTCTGCCTGCCACTTCTTCCCAAAGTCAAGGTGCCACGCACCCAAGACAATCCCATAAACCCAAGACAAACCATCGAAAGCATGGCAAAGGATTATTTTCCCCAGCATGGAGTCCAAATGTCCTCACAGTCCAAGGGCAAAGGGGACAATGATGGGCCTTTTTGCCTTGGTGTCTCTTAGTGGTGAGGGTGTCAGCTTTTCTTGCCCCCATCCGGCCCACCCGCTGCCACCCCCTCTCACCTCTGATGTGACAGGTCTCTGTCTGCTGAGGTGCTGCTCCAGCTCCACGGACCTAAGGCTGGCCGTTCTCTCTGGCGGCTCTGCGACACTCCCATCATTTATACCTTCATTTTCCTAAGTGTCAGCGTCAGAGAATCAATTACCCACCAGTCCACCAGAGCACTGTTTTTAGCATCCACTTACAAACCCTAATAGGGGAAAGAGGTCTTCCCCCCTGCAAATTAAGACTCACTTTGACCTTTCCATTTACCTTTGAGGGGACAAACAGAATATAAAGTTGTAGTATGATTCAGAGGAAAATAGAGTCTAATACTGCTACTGTAATCATTGGAGAGCTTGTAACAGTGAACCAGCCAGGTTGTTTGTTCTCTGAGGTGAAAGTGCCTTTTAAAAAGTACCCTTTAAAAGGTGCATATAATTCTCTTTTGTAACTTAATTTCACTTTAGGGTAGACAACGTTACCAATAAGTGTTTTTCTCCCCTTAGTGAGAAAAACTGTTTGCTCTCTCCCTTGTCGTCCAATTAGCGGAATTTTCCTCTGTTTGATTTACACCTGCTACCGTCATCAGTGGATTTAGACAGCTCGCCCGGGGAGCAGCCGCCCTCGCATGTCAAGGCAGCGGAACAATACAGTTGCCTCAGAGAAGTGTAAAGTGAACAGAGAGATGGGAAATCTCGGGAGGGTTGTGTTTCTCGACTTTTTCTAGCCAGTAGCGAAGGCATCTTCAAACATGACATAAAAGTGTGTGAGGCAGAAGCTCTGGTTTCCCTTGCAGTTCCTATAGAGGTGTGAAAAGAGCTCCGGGCCCAAGTCCGGCGCCTGCCGCCTTCCGGGAGCCTGCCAGTCACGACCTCTGTGACCCTCAGCAAGTTACTTCTGCAACACAACTTGGATAGGTGGGAATTGGCCCAGAACAGCAACTTTCAAACTTAAACCCTTTCCCTTCTTTAGAAACCTTCTCCATAACTACAGTATGTAAGCAGATTTTTAAAAGTGAGGCCAGCTACTTCAAAACGATCATGCATGCCTGCAGTCCCAGCTCCCCAGGAGCCTGAGGCAGGAGGATCACTTGAGCCCAAGAGTTTGAAGTCAGCATGTGCAATATTGCAAGATTCTATCTTAAAAAGAAAAAAGGTGGTGGGAGGGTGGCTCTGATTGAAGAGGGGAAAGTGGAGACCCCATTTACCAGCCCCTGAGATACCTCTACGGGGCACAGTTAGAAACCAATAGTTTTTGAGATTCTTCCTAGCAATAACATCTTGTGACCTTGCTTCTTAGCCCGCACTGATCCATGTTCTTGGCATAGAGCTAACTTGGTATGTTCCCCACAGAAGTAAGGACTGAGTGGAATGTCACCCTGCTGACTTCACCAGGTCAGGCCAAACCCTCAGGGATTAAGAGTAGGATGTTGGTATTAAGAGGAACATTGTTAAAACAGATGAAAGGATGGGCTGGTGGGTCAGAGTGGCACGCAGCAGAGGAGGCAGCCCATGCTCTGGGGCACTGGACTATTGCATGGTTGCTGCAGCAAGTGCTAGGCCCCTGCAGAGGGCTGGGCACCCAGAATGGATGCTGTGCAAGAGTGCACATGCAGGACTCAAGGAGTTGGCCGGAGAAGCTGTGGGATTCTAGATTCAACCACTGTGGGAGCCCTGTCAGGCATTTTGCTTGGCCTCTGCTCTGACTCAGTTTCTTCATCTGTAAAATGGGAGCAATAGGGCTCAACTCATGAAACTGTAGAATAAGGATTACTGTAACAGTGTAGAACATATGGGGTGGCATACAGTAAGTTCTCACATCAGCATTTATTGCTATTCTCTCTCACTATGCAGTTCAGACTGGCCTTGAGCTCACTTTGTAGCCCAGGCTTGTCTCAAACTCACAATGATTCTCCTGCCTCAGCCTCCTGAGTGCTGAGATTACAGGTGTGTGCCACCATACCCGGCTATCATCGCTATTCTTGTTATTGCCATAAATGAATCCACAGAGGCACAACGAGGTTACACAGTGGCAGAGTGACTTAATGAGGTTACACAGTGACTCAGACAGAAGTCTCACTTCCAAATCCAGTGACCCGCACCAAGCTACAGTTCTCCAAGGCCTACCAGCTCTTCTAATACTTGATCATTTTTTGAAAATTCTCTGCAACCATTCCACCACCGCTGAGCGACATACCAGCCTTAGCTCATGTGTTTTAAGACTCCTTCCATGGGTTTTCATAAATATAAACACCCACGCCACCGTCACCACCGTCCTATCTTGGAACACTTCATCACCCCAAAAGTTCCCTCTGACCCATTTGCTGCCAATCTCCACTCCCGCCCTCAGATCCCAGGAACCATGATCTGCTTCCTGCCTCCATGGTTTTCCCTCTACTGGGAAATTCATTAGAAGTGGAAACATACAGTAGATATTTTTGGTGTTAGGCTTCTTTCAGCAGAATATTCTTGTGATTCAGGACACATATATTCCATTATTTCATTGGATGGCTGCACACAGTTTGTTCATCTTGATGGACATTTAGATTAATTCTAGTTGTGGACTCTTAGGAAAAATGCTGCTATGAGTCTGCATCTAAGACCTTGTGAAAATGTACAATTTTGTTTCCCTGGTATAGGTACCTAGGAGAAGAATTCCTGAGTCGTAGGCAAGCAAGTGTTTACCTTTTTATGAAACTGCTAAAAATCTTTCCACTTACATTCCCACCAGCAGTAGTGACTACCTTGTCAGGGTTGGGTTTTATGTGCTTTGTTTTGTTGACACTGAAGATTGAACCCAAGGTCCCACACATGCCAGGCAAGTGCTTCACCACCAAGCTACATATCTTTTTTCTTTTTTTAAATTTTTAAATTCTGAGACAGGGTCTTGTCAAATTGCCCAGGCTCACCTTGAAATTGTAATTCCCCTGCCTCAGCCTCCTGAGTAGCTGGAATTACAGGCATGCACCAATATGCCCAGCTCACCAGTTTTTAAAGAGCATTTATTTCCTCATCTTGCAAACTCCTATCACACACCTAATCAGGCCCCGACAGATCTCAGTGGGTTAACTGTCCCCCCTGAGAGTCTGGTGGCATTTCTGCCATTAGGAGTAAGTGGAACCTTTCACTCTGCATAACATTTTTCTGGGGCACTATGAAAACATGAGGACTAAAGTGTATGGATACAATGTTTGTTTTCAAAAAGCTTAGGAAGGCAGACAGGGAAGATGCTAAATAATTACTCCTAGTGGGTAGGTCCAGAGAGGGACACAACATCAACGCTCCAAAGCAAACACCTATAATTCCAGCACTCTGGAAGGCTGAGGCAGGAGGACTGCAAGTCTGAGTCCAGCCTGAGCAACTTGGCCATTTAGGCAAGACCCTGTCTCAAAAAATAAATTTAAAACAAAGAAGGCGGGGGATGTAGCAAAGTACAAAAGCCTTTATAACCCCCCCAACCCCACCCCTAAGAATAGGAAAAAGGAGAAATTATGGAAAACTGGGAGTGCATCATCAGACAGAAGCTGGAGAGAAGCCTGAGACAGGTGTACCACTATGTGCTTCCACTCACTGGGGCTGCATGTGGGTTTAGATGTGAAACCCAGCTCTGCCACTTCCAAGCTGTGTGATTCCAGACAAGGCCCTAGATCTCTCTGAGCCTTGGTTCCCACACTCACATGACGGAGATGACAAAGCCTACCTCCCAGTTTGCTGTGAGAGTCTTTGCTACCTAGTGTTTTGGTAAGTGGTAGCTGTTGTTACAGTTTTTGACCAAGCTGAGCTCTGAAAGCCAAGGCAGCACGGCAGGGGAGAGCTGAGCACCACCTTGGTGCAAACTTATTTGTAGTAAATTCTCCTGAGGCCACCAAGCAGTGCCATACCCACCAAGCCCACCAAGAAACTGGACAGGGAGCGGGGAGCCAGGAGACCTGAGAATAAGAGCCCAGCTCCTCCACTGATTCCCCTGGCTGCCTGGCCTGACCGGGTCCTCTGGCAGATGGCGAGAGAACCCTTGCTTGCCTGCGGCTGCTGGGCTCTGTCTCAGGACATGTTCTAACCCAGCATTAATTAGCCATCATGGCTGTGTCTAGGAACTGGGGGCGTGAGCTGCAGAAATAGTGTCCAGAGAAAGGCAGGCTTTAAAAGGCCCCAAAAGTCTAGGACAGAGACCAAGCCGCAGTGATAGGAGAGACAAGCTGCGCATTTGTGTTACAAATTTCCAGTGTGTGTGAGCCAGCCATTCAAACGGGGGCACTGAAGGCTGCAGGCTTGGGGCGGGGAGCAAGGGACAAAGGGGGCCTGTCTGCGAGCCTCAGACCCTGCTTTGTAAAAGCTGCTTTCACCACCCTCCCTGGAGTATGTCAGCCTCCCCAGCCCAAGGCCACTGTGCAGGGAGGGGTGGAGGAGGTCTGGACCCCAGGCTTGACCCTCCCCCTGCCCTCCTGGGCCTGCATTTTTGGAGTCATCAGCATGGGTGCTCAAGTGTGCTATCAGAGCGAGGCAACCAGGGTTTGGAGGTATGACACTGCTTGGTGGCCTCAGACAGTCACCCAACTTTCCTGGGCCTCAGTTTCCTCTTCTGTAAAATGGGGTTGGGCTGGTCAGTTCTCCTATTCCACCTGGTTCTATAGAGTAGAAGGACCTGAAATTGGCAACTCGAAGGTTCGTCTCTTTCTGGAAAAGTCTGCATTTAGGGAGGTCGTTAGAAGAGTTCTTTAATAAGGTAAAGTTGACTGCACTTAGGAAATCAGTGAAGTAACCTGTTGCTTGGAAATGATACCGATGAGTAAGAGTTTCAACATTTACCTTGCTTCCAATCGCTGGGACTGCCCCAAGTTAATTATGAATGTTCACCGGGATGGTTTTTGGGTGGGCAGACTTGGTGCAGGTGCTGAGCACACTGCCACAAGGGAGCTGCCCCCATGGATCCTTTAGGCAGCTTTCCTGATGTGGGGGTGTATGCTTGTAATCCCAGCTACTCGTGAGGCTAAGGCAGTAGGATCGAAAGTTCAAGGCCAGCCCAGGGAACTTAAAATACCATAAAATTTATCTAAAAATAAAATTTTAGAAAGGGCTGGGGGCACAATTCACCTCTAGAATGCCTGCCTAGCATGCATGAGGTTCTGAGCT